AGTTTTTTTTTTTTTTAGATAATGTAATCTTGTTCAAATTGATTTCATAAAACTGGTATCGAAAAAAGTATCGTTCAGGAACCGGTATCGAAGTCAAGGTATCGGTATCGTATCGGTATCGATATCGATATCGAAAAATTTTGAACGATACCCAGCCCTAAGTATAGGCTATATTTTTTTTTCATACTGTGGGAGTCAGTGGGGACCAGCAACTGTTTGGTTACTAACATTATTCAAAATATCTTTTTTTATGTTAAACAGAAGAAAGAAACTCACAGGTTTGGAACAACTGGAAGATAAGTAAATGATGAAAGAATTTTCATTTTTCTGTGAATATTTTAACATTTTTTAAAATTCAAAATACTAATTGTAATTATTCACGTGGTTTAACAAATTGTACAGAAAAGTAAATTAAATGTAGTGAAATCTATAAAATGGCCAGAATCATATAAACTATTGTATACTAGGAAAAATAGGATGTAAATAGGGTGTTTCATCACAGTCGGTTCTCTTTGCCAGCGATGCAATATTTTTTATACCTCAAAACATGCTGCAATACAGTTGTGCTTTTGATTAAATTCAGGGGCCTGCGATCGATACATCAATATTACAATATTATGTGTGTATTTTACACAACCAGTTACATTTTTAACTCGCAAAAGCAGCAAAAATATATAATATTTAATTTAACTGAATAAAGATAGAACATTTAATTGAACTCTCTTAAAATCTCATGAAAATCTCATGTCCCCTAGAGACATTCACATTTAAAAAATATCTTTAAAAAATTTATAATATAGGAAAATAAATTATATATAAATAATATTTTTTTTAAAAGTATATAATGAGAAAAATCTGTACTTCGATCATCAAAATGAAGTAGCCTACTTCAGTCATTGAAAAAAAAATGTATAAAAAAAGATGTGCATCTTAATGCGTTGCATTGATACAGAATATCGCCTGTGTAGGCTACTATAAAAGAGAGTAATTATAAACTAAGTAACTATATAATCAAAGTGCATATGAAAGTAGTTGAGTTGGATGTAGCTATTGCAAAACATTGTGATATGATAATGATAACCCTTATAATATTGGAAGACAGTGATGTTGCAGTAGAAAGGATTGCATTTCAACAACTGATTATACTTATATTTGAACAGCTATTAATTAGTGTGCATGTTTTGTATGCTTTCTAATGAATTAACAAACTAAAAATGATAATTAGTGCTCAAGGGACATTGTAGCAATTTTGAATGTTTGATAATACCTGCATGTTATGGCTGCTTAACATCAAGCTGCTTAGTCTGCATGCTCACAGAATCAGATAGCAGAAACTGAAAATTGCCTGATAATTGCAGAGATTGATTTTGCATACCATTTTATTTTATCATAACTTTGTATTAGAACTTTTGGTTCTATATGTTTTACCTTTAGCTTCCGGAGGAAGGTCTTGCTCTGGGATATTAATGTTATTTGGTGTTCACAATAGGAGTATCTTATTGGCTGAAAGGAAGACATTGTTAGGTCTGTGCAATTCAACTTGAGAGTTAAGTTAACAATTCATAAAAAATTAATAAGTTGACTGGACACTGATGGAAGGTTACCAAATGTTTACATGTCCCAGATAATTGTCACACACACACACTATACCTTATGTCACATGAGAACAGCCATTTTCTATCAAATACCCAGTGAAAAGGCTAGTGACATTATCCCACTGTCTATTGAGCAGGATCATATAATTTTGCGTTGCTTTCTTGTTGTCATAGTTACCAGAAGAGCACCTTTTCAGGTAGACTGCAGTCAGTAGGGGTGTGACGAGACACTTATCCCACGAGACGAGACGAGACATGACATGAGACTGGGTTCACGAGAACGAGACGAGACAAGATTTTTAGACTTTTTTTTTAAGAAATCCTCAATGATGAAATATATAAGAAAAAAATAGTCTTTTATTCAACTGAAAAACACAAAATTAAAAAAATGTAGGTGCATTTTGAAATCAACTTGTACTTTATGAAATTAAACTTCTATTTTAATGAATTATATGCAGCAATAAACAACATGTAAACACTGCAAATTGTTTTGCGAGGATATCGTCACATTCTCGTGAGATCTCGTGCCACTAGATCTCATCACATCCCTAGCAATCAGTGTACTGGGAGTCTAACCTCATCAATAGGAGACCTCCCACTGCTCCTACAATTTTCCATTTCGGTGTAGTGAGGTATTATGTCCTTTCTTTGCTGAGTCTAAATGTCAAACTTGATATTTGTGTTATGACCTGAGCAATCCATGAAGGCAGAGGGGCAACTTTAAGAAAATGTTAGATGTAATCGCTCTTCTTTGTTGGGCCGTTTCTGAACTCTGAAGGAGAAAGGCAGTCCGATTACTCTGACAAAGGCATGTTTAAGCTCCCAGGCTAATGCCATCCTGATGTTTCTGGGCAAAATATTGTAGAGAAGATCAATATAAATCTGTTATGGAACTGCTTTGAGAAGATTAAGTTTTGGCTTCAATCGAAGGGCAAAAATGTGCCATTGTCACAAATTTTGGACTTCAGTTTCTTTGTTTATATAGCTGGCATCTAACCCTCTGAAAAGATGATAGTAAATGAATCTGATTCCTTCTGCAGATACACTGCCATTCAAAAGGTGAAAGAAATCATACTTGTATTCAGCAAGGATGTATTAAATTGATCAAAAGTGACAGCAGACACTTATAATGTTACAAAATATTTCAAATAAATGCTGTTCTTTTGAGCTTTCTATTCATAAACATATCCTGAAAAAATGTATCACGATTTCCGCAAAAAATATAAGCAGCACAACTGTTTCAGCTGTTTTCAACTGAGCACCAAATCAATCAGTGTGATTTTTGAAGGATCATTTGACACTGAAGATTGGAGTAACGGGTTTTAAAGATAATAACCCAAAGCTTTATAAGTACAATCCATGAGGATGATCAATGAATTTGCAAAGTTCACTTTCCAAAGTTGTGGATATGAGCAAATGTACTACACTAGTAGCTGCTAAACATCAAATGACTAGATATGCACAGTTTAACAACACCCACTTTAACACACCTTTTTGGAAGATTTTCAGCCTTTTTTATTATCTCAATCATTACATTTTCATATACTGATCAGTTGTTTTGTGTGTAATTGTGCTGTTCTTTTCAGTTCATAATGTAAAAG